GTGGTAGGCTGACGTGAGACGGGAGAATGAATGGGAATCTGAGTGGTTAGTGGATAGGGGTGAGTAAATTAAAATACTGCTAAGAACAGACAGAATGGGAATTAGGGAATCTAGCTAGGGTGAGAGATGGAGGGTTAAATGAGAAGGCTCGAGATCCTGAGCTGGGTCTAAGGCCAGGACTATAAGGATAGGGAAACAGAAAGTGAGATGGAAACAGAAAGTGAGATGAGATGGAGCAGAGGACAAAGGTTAGGGGGAAAGTACAGTAAGGATTCTGGATTCTTGAGTGCTCACGGGTCACTTTGGTCTCCTGTAGACAGACGATATCGGCATCCAGTTCGTTCAAAATGCGCCCCATGGCCATGGGGGCACAGTTGCTGGGTTCCTGGTATACCATCCCTTGCAAGGGGCTTCGGATCCCATTGATATTCCAGCTCACCACGCGCAACATCTTAGTGAAAGGGAACACTTCCCAGAACACGCCAATGTAAGCGCGAAAGAAAGGCTTGTGGCTCAGTAATCCGCCAGGCCCTGCCTCCCGCGCGCATTTGCGTAGGCGTCCTCATGCGTCCTACGAAAGAGTCTGACGTACCTGGGGCGGAGCTTCGAGACCCTCAGTTCTCACAGGCGGGAGGAGGGACTGGGTAAGAGTTACATAAGTGGATTACTTATCCGGAAGTCAATGACGAGAGGAAGGTTCCCAGTTGGATTCCTACTTTTGCATCCCCGCACTGGCCGAAATACCTGAATTTGACTGCTTTTCTTCTCTGTTTAAAAGTCCCCTTGGTGTTTCCGGTTTCATACGAATGAACTTCGCCAATTTTTAAGCTGCAGGACGTGGCGGAATCGCTCAGCGGTCGAAGCCCCGCCCCCAGTGCGTCTGACCTTTCCCTTAAGTGCGTAGATTGCTGCTCCTGGGCTTGCAACCCTCGGGTAGCTGACAATATATACTGTGCGAAGCAGCTCTGGAGAGGCATGGGTTGGGGCAAGAGAACTTCATGTTTGAAGGAGAGCATCTTAAGAAACGCACTACTAGGGTAAAACTTAGGAGAAAGACTTATGGCATTATTGAGGCAGCAACCAGAAGGAGCTGTTTCAAACCCACTCCGTCGCAGTTCTTTGTTTTGGGCCTCATAAGTATCACTGAAGATGTAGCCTTACACATTCTTGCCCTTGACTCTGTTTTTCAGATGAATAGAATCGTGGCAGGAGAGTGTAAGTCCCTGAGCAGTACTGTCTTCCTGCATAGCCATGGCTTTTTCTTTTTTCTTTCTTTTTTCTCTTTTTTGGAGAGGTTTTTGCTATAGTGCGCTCACCAGAAAGACAGAAAGAGACAGCAATAAATTACGCCCCCCCCAGGAGAGATGGCCATGCCACAATCCCTTCTCCATTCTCTCAGATCGTGAACACACACACGCACACATGCCCGGCTTGAGTTTAAGCCATCAAATCCGGAACTCGAACCCCGGGAGTCCAGCGACATAGCCATTACACCAACTGCTGGTCCTGCCATGGCTTTTTCATATATATTATTTCATTCTTAGGATGACACAGTAAAAGGTATTGAGGCTAAGAGAGATTAGTGAATTCACCTCAGTCTCACGGTATAGTTATAGTAGTCAGGATTCAAACCTGTTTAAATCAGGTAAAGGATTACTTTTGCTGAGTTTTTACCTACTATGCACTTCCCAACTTAGATCTTTTCCTATGGACCCCCAGGTAATTCTATGGTCCCTTCTTTCACAGTGTTTATCACAATGCACATCTACCATTAACTTCTATTTCTGTTGCCACTAAACTACCAGCAACTTGAGAGCAACGACCATCCCTGAGTCATTTTGTTAGTCCTATCTCCTAATAAAAGACACAGCATTGGGACCAGCAGTTGGCATAGTGGCTATGTCGCTGGACTCCCATGTAGTTGACCACAGTTCGAGTCCTGGACCTGGTGGCTTAAACTAACGCCGGGTGCGTGTGCATATGTGCCCAAGATCCTGGGAGGAGAGTGGAGGAGAAGGGATTGCGACATGGCCATCTCCTCTGGGGCATGCTTTCTCACTTTCTGTCTCTCTCTCTCTGGCAAGCACACATGTCCTATAGCAAAAACCTATCCCCCCCCCAAAAAAAAAGAAAAAAAGACACAACATTTATTAGGCATTAGAGGCTTGGATGAATGAATGAATATGTGGATGAATGAAGGGAAATAGCAAGAGCATCAACAGGTTCATGGCTTGTTTTTGAGAGCACAACAATAGAAGAACAGACATCTTCAGTGTCCAGGGTTCCACACACAGAATTGCAGTATAATTATTTTTTTACCCCCAGAATCACACAGCCTTAGAGCCATAATCCTCAGTGACTGCATAAAAGACATGGTGTGCTGCTTTTCCTCCTGGAGGACTTAAAGATTACCTACCAATTGTTGCCATGAGAAAATAGGTCTGTAATTAAAATAAAAATTTTCATGCCTTGAGTTTTTTCATACTTTGGGAGTTACTGACTCAGGATTGGGTTTCAGGAGTGGGGTAGCTGGGACAAAGGCAATGAAAATTTTTATTGCTCTTGCTTCATATCACCAAATTGCTGTCCAATAAGGGATTGTGCCCATTTATGCTGAATGCTGATCTAAAACTCACCCCAAGGAAATCCAGATCTTGACTGTCTCCATAGCTGTTCCCCATTATGCAGTTGCTTGTTAATATTAGTTCTGACCTTTGAGGCAAGGTGAACACATGATTGGACTGAAGAGAAAAAACTGCGGGTGGCTCAGGAACTTCTTTGGCAGCTACAACAGCTGATATTTGAACAGAGTGTACACACACCCCCTTAACCAGGGTACTTCTTCAGCCTTCCCAGGGAACCAGTGAATGCTTCCAGACTCCCTCTTTGATGCCACCCACTGGATTTACTTTTGGGGTCTATAAATGAAGAGAGCCAAATCTTGGATAATTAGCAATGGAAGAAAAAATCTCTAGGAGAACAGGTAGGTGAGAAAGAATAAAAAATAGATGAGTTACAGAAATCCAAATCCATTCTTCAGACTCTAAAGTACAATTTTTGTGTAGGTAGTTGGTTGAGATGTGCATAGAGAGGTAAGGAAAAGATGAACAGAGTGTACACACACCCCTATGTCTGATCTATCTGTATTCTATTTTTTATCCATTCTGTTCTGCCTTGGTAGGACGGTGTCTGAAATGGCAATTTTGTAGCACCTTTGAAAGTCTGTCCAACTTGATCTAGTCCAGTGTTGAATGAACTGAGTGATGGAAATTATATCATGTAACCTTCTGACTTTTTGCTATATAAAGTAGGGCTGATTTGCTATGGCACTTTAAACAAACTCTGTACCTTTTCTGGGCATTAATAGCCTCCTCAGTAAAATCAAAATTGAAGTTTCTTTCCTAGTTCCCTCAGAGGTCCATCTAAAGATCAAGAATGGGTGGGAAAACAGGAACCAGAGATCTTTGGAGACTTTTCAGGATTTCCATGCTGTGTCTGAGATTAGTAATCATGGCTTTTTTTTTTTTTTT